ACGCCCGGTATAACGTGGTACGACAAAACAGCCAGGATAGCCTTCGGGTCGTTCGTCTGGTTGGATTGCACATAATTGAGGTAGGTATCAATAGCTTTGTTGTCGGGTGCAAGCACTAGATTAAATAAATGTCAGAACTGAATGCGCTGGGCGTGCACTGAGGACGAATACTCGTATAGTTTCCATTTTCAAGTTCAGCCAGCAAGTCCGGGAAGAGCATCAGATAGGATGTGAATTTGGTGAGCTGCGGCAGTTCAGAGAGGACCAAGGTGAGGTTGTTGGTGCCCTGGCCGACAGCGCTCCAGGCCAGGGCCAAAAGCAAGAAGATGATCCATAACATCTTGTTTTTCATCCCAGACTGTCCAGAGCGGACCTCGCGCAAGGAACTCGCAAGGAACAGAACACGAAGAAAGAGGGAGGAGACTGGTAGACTGCGCAACACCATACATGAGGTTTATTTCTCTTTTGGAAGGGCCCGTGACCGACTAGGTTGAGGCTCCAGTAGGCCCCGGGCCAAGTTCTGGACTGAAGTCTGATTCTCCGCAAAATGGTAGCTGAACTCGTAGCTTTCACACTGAGTTAGGAGGTTTCACGAATGAATGATGTTCTTGGCTGGCCAGATGGTTTTCACCATCGTATTCTCGGTAGGAAACTCCAATGATAGGTGACCGCCACGGTTAGTGTTTCAATGAACACGAGGCTCGACCACACCAAAACGAAAGACGCTCCTGCTTTGCTTTCTGGTGGCTGCACTAGATATGAATCTACCGAAGAGATCGGTTGAGTTTGCACACGAATTTGTCCAATTCTCCTCACCAGGCATTTGAGCAATGGTAAGTGACGCTCAGAGCATGGACCAGCACTGAGAAGTCACCCTCGGGTGTTGTTGATCTGTACGCAATATTTGGGGCCTCGAGGATGGTGAGCGCATGATGATGTTCTATCAAGACGCTTTTTAGTCACATGCATGATGAAAGGTCATTTTACTGATCGCGAGAATTGGATCAGATAAGGAAGAGAAATGAAGGTAAAGAATGAAATGATTGATGGATGGAGTTTGCACCCTTGCAGGCTGCCAAGCCCGAGGCCCCCAGCTTACTAGCACTGTTCTAGGCGTCCTCCTGCTACCAAGTATGTAGTTCCGTCATTCCTTCATCTTCGGACGTCAGCTTCAGCATGTAGTGCGTCTATCGTGACTACAATGGTACGGCATCCACGCACTCTTACCGAAGGCCAGCAGGTTTCTACTTCTTGCGGTAGTGGGCAAGCAGTGTCCCTCGGCCGAGGAGGTGGGGACTGCGCGTACCCGTCGCGTACCTATCATGTCGTTCTGGTACTTGGTTTGTAACACCACCCTTGGCAGACAAAAGTCGAAACTGGTGTATTTAAGAAATCTAACGAAAACCGGCCCTTTATTAGTGAGTTACTATATTCCATAAATCAACTTCCAAATCCCCGTGTCCGAACCATGTCGAAACTCACAGATTTTCGCCTTCTCTCGTTCGACGTGTATGGCACCTTGATAGACTGGGAAAATGGCGTTCTAACCGGCCTGCAACCACTCATCTCATCGGCAGGTCTGGCCAAGAAAGAGGCGCTGGAGCTGTACTTCGAGCTCGAGAAAACACAGCAAAGCAACAATCCAGACATGCTATACTCGCAGCTCCTCACGGCCATCTATCCGCAATTCGCCAAGCGCTTGAATCTTCCACCACCGGATGACACGGAGAGCGAGAATTTTGGAAGCTCAGTGGGCAAGTGGCCCGCATTCCCGGATTCTGTGGACGCTCTGCGCCGTCTGGCAAAGTACTATAAACTCGTCATCCTCTCGAATGTGGACAGGGAGAGTTTCCGGGGGAGTAATTCGGGGCCTTTGCAGGGCGTGCATTTCGACAAAATCATCACCGCGCAGGATGTGGGGAGTTACAAACCGTCCCTCAAGAACTTTGAGTTCATGCTCAAGACTGTGAAGGACGACTTTGGTGTTGACAAGAGTGAGGTGTTGCAGACTGCGCAGAGCCAGTTCCATGATCATCATTCGGCGAGAGAGATGGGGATCAAGTCGTGCTGGATCCACAGGTATGGCACGATGGGGAGTCGGGAGGGCGATGTGGTTTATGATTGGAAATTTCAGACGTTGGGGGAGATGGCAGATGAGGTGGAGAGGGAGGCTCGTGGGAAGGAGAGTTGATCAACGGAACGAAGGACTCATGGCGGGAGATAATTAAATACAGGCATAAGGATCGATATCATGGCTCGGGAAGGTGCTTTGACGCCATCTGCGATGAGCATTGCGCTATACAACTTTTTCAAGATGACAAGCAGCAGTCTCAAACAACTTGTGTGACTCACATGTGGTTGGATCACCGCGGTACGTTAGTGTCACCAGACACTGACGACTCCAGGCGACATGCTGATGGTAATCGGGGTTGATGTCAGGACGAGTTGTTGTGCCGCAGCTGTCGATCCTTCAGCATGAACGCTGTGCCTACTCTTGGAGCGCTGTGTTCATTGTTTCTCACTTCCAGAGAGTGAAAGGATTTGTTGCTGTTAAGAATTGAGACCACGACGGGGCCTCTGTTGCGGTATCATGATCGGATCCTTCGATACAAAGCTGAAGCAATTAGGGGCTTCCAACACTACTCCGGATAAGAATGTGCCTGCTCGTGAAGAACTGAGTTGATCATCTGGTCAGAGCGAGGAACTCGGTAGAGCAAGGAAGGAATGAGTTCAATTGAGCTGGGTCCCGGGAGACGCGCCAAGGTTGCCCTCGGCTGTCGTTGCCTCAGCCTTACGTGGCTCGTCCAGTGGCTGAGCTGCGCTGCTCTCCTCTGCGGTAGCTTCCGAATCCGAGACTGTGGAAGCTGCCGATAACTGCAGCTGGTAAACTCGTCGCTTCACACCTGTGTCCACGCCCATTCTCTCCTGTTCTTATGGGCAATATGTACAAGCTGGGTCGCCGTAGCTTCGGGCCCGCCTTAAAGGCCTTCAGAGTAAAGCCTACACTGTCTGCCCGGTTTAACACATGTGTTGACATGAGTAACAGGATACCCCGTTGCGGAGCTCGATCCAACAGCAACAGCGGAGGAGCCTTAGCATCCACGAATACCTGTCAGCAAACCTACTGAAATCCTATGGCATCGGAGTGCCTGATGGAGAGGTCGCGAAGACACCAGAAGAGGCCGAGGCCATTGCAAAAAAGATTGGTAGGTGCAGCCAAACCTGAAGTTGAGATGAGGAGTCACTGAGACGTATACTTCCAGGCGGAGATGATATGGTCATCAAAGCCCAGGTCCTTGCCGGTGGTCGAGGCAAGGGCACCTTTGACAACGGCTTGAAAGGTGGCGTGAGGGTCATTTATTCGTAAGCCCCCAAGTCTATATTGAAGACCTTCAGTCGAGTAACCTCGAGCCAGACCAACCGAAGCAAAGATGTTCGCAAGCCAAATGATCGGCCACAAACTCATCACCAAGCAGACAGGCGCCCGAGGCCGTATTTGCAACTCAGTCTATATCTGCGAACGCAAATTTGCCCGACGAGAATTCTACTTGGCCATCCTCATGGACCGTGCTACCCAAGCGCCGGTCATCGTTGCATCTTCGCAGGGCGGAATGGATATTGAGACGGTTGCGAAGGAGACACCTGACGCCATAATCACCACTCCTATCAAACTCAACGAGGGCGTCACAGATGATATTGCCAGAAACATTGCAACCGAGCTTGGGTTCAGTGAACAATGCATTGAAGATGCAAAGAGCACGATTCAGAAATTGTACCAGGTCTTCATGGAGAAGGATGCTACACAAATAGAGATCAATCCCCTCAGCGAAACGAGCGACCATCAGGTCTTGGCCATGGATGCCAAGTTGGGTTTCGATGACAACGCCGATTTCAGACAAAAGGAAGTATTCAGCTGGAGAGACACTTCACAGGAGGATGCCGATGAGGTCAAAGCCGCAGAGTATGCTCATAACACTTTTCTGAAGACTATGGCTAACGAGTGGCAGGCATGGCTTGAACTTCATCAAGCTCGACGGTGATATCGGTTGCCTCGTCAATGGCGCAGGCTTGGCTATGGCTACAATGGATATCATCAAGCTCAGTGGTGGCTCACCGGCAAACTTCTTGGATGTTGGTGGCGGTGCTACGCCAGAGGCCATCAAGTCTGCTTTCACTCTGATCACCAGTGATCCTAAGGTCACCGCAATCTTTGTCAACATCTTCGGTGGTATTGTCAGATGTGATGCCATCGCTCAGGGCTTGATCAACGTTGTACAACAGATGAATCTGAGTTTGCCCATCGTATGTCGATTACAGGGCACGAATATGGAAAAGGCGGCCGACTTGGTAAGAATTTCTGACCTATCCTGATCCCGAGCAATACACTAACAAGTTATATAGGTGAGCAACTCTGGTCTCAAGATCTTCTCCATCACGGATCTGCAAGAAGCAGCTGAGAAAGTGGTCGACTTTTCGAAGATCGTCAAGATGGCGAGGGAAATTGATGTCGGCGTGCAGTTCTCTCTTGGTATCTGAGCCCCCATGAGTTGGCTTTGGTCCGCGGTTTGATAGCTATCAGGGTCTCCTCCTTAAATGGAATGAGTGATTTTACGCTCCTTCTGTGCGCATGAACAACGCTGTCACAACATACGCTCTTGCATCTTCGACCCTGATGTGTTAGTACTCCTGCTTGCTATGCGGGTAGCTCCTGCATGCAGCCCTAATTTCCCGCCGGCTATGGGAGGGGCGTTGGTGATGTAGAAGGTCTTATCGAGTTTGATCAAGATTTTGTTTGCTACCTTCAGTCTTCTCTCACTTGTCTCTCAACCTGCCACTTATTGTGGAACGGTCGTTCTTCGATTGCTCTCTCATCCACTTTTCTCAACGCTACCTGCCGTGGCTCGCCGTTCCGCCGTCTCCATCCCGCACAACCGGATCAAGCTGTGCACAGCATCATAAAAAATCATGTTACAAGCCGCACGTGAGCAAAAAGACGGCGTTGGACACACGGGGATTTGAACCCCGGACCTTTCACAGTCACATTCTCGGCGATGCGAAGCGAAAATCATACCCCTAGACCATGTGCCCCTATTATCCTCCAAACAGGTGGAAAGTCTGTGCGACATTTCAACCAATTTTTGCGGCAACTAGCTATATAGTTTTTATTATTTCTCGGCTGTCTCGGGCTTCTTCGCGCCGGAAGATCGCGTAATCGTTCACTAAACCGACCCACCTGGTCTAGAAATGGGAGACGACAAACACCTTTTGTATCTCCTCATCCTCTGCCTATTATTGGATCCCGCACACAATTCCCCGCCGGGAAGCAACAGCAGCGCCAGCTACGGACTCGCGGGGGGAGAACTTTGCGGATCTTCAAGTCATCATACCTACCGCCGGTTATCTACCTGCTGGGAATCGTTTTCAGAGGCAAGTCCTGAGATGATACTGATACCCAGGCGGCCGATGCATTGTCGGTCATCCTTTCTCTACACCCGCTATTGTCTGGCTGGATAGGTTCCTTCGCTCCGTTACTCGGTATAGGCATGGATTTGATAATTAGGTGCCGCGCAAACTCAACGTTGAAGACACGCAATCTCCAAGCACTTCATCCCAGTGTGCGCTCTGGACCAGCCATGCGACAATGAGATAAAATCCTACCAAGCTGGTGGGAAATTGCAATGCCTCCTTCAGCATCAGAGGGATATCTCTCTACGGCACGGCGCACAGCCCATCATCGCGGAGTGCCCGCCTCAGCAGCTCCTGCTGCCAGTCGACACGATCAAGCAACAAATGGCCGCTTTCTGGATCTTGAGGCGAGACCTATGCCTGTCCCAGATGGCTGGCGTACCCCGGCCATCGAAGACCCAGAGCATCAAGCCAACAACTCAGGAAGGTCCGACTATGGGTTTTCGCGTATCTATGTGAACAGACAAAGGATGGCTCCACGAACAGGTGACGAAGGAGACAAGCTTGAGGCCCCGGACAGCGAGCCGCCAAAGGACGTTTCTTGGTTACAAAGGATGAAGCATATTACCTGGGCGTGGTTCACTCTCACTATGGCGACAGGTGGAATTGCAAACGTCCTGCACAACGGTACTATCCTATTCTCTCAGTTCTGCAGCATATCACAGATAGTTCTGGACTGACGAGCTATCTTCACAGTACCTTACCGCTTCCATGGCCTCTACACAATTGGGGTGGTTTTCATGCTACTCAACATTGTGCTTTACCTCATTATTTGGGCCATGACAATAACACGCTTCACACTTTACCCGTGGACTTTCCGAGCCAGCTTCACCCATCCTACTGAATCACTTTTTGCACCAGCTTTTGCTGTCTCCTTCGGCACGATCTTGATCAATATTGTGGAGTATGGCTCTGGAAGCGTTGGGCCGTGGCTCACTCACGTTGTTCTGGTACTGTACTGGTTCGATTGCGGCCTGGCAATCGCACTGAGCATCACCATCTACCTCGTATTGTGGTCCAGTACAACATTCACCATTGCAAGGATGACTCCAATCTGGATCTTCCCGGCCTATCCGTTGCTCATCATAGGGCCTCATGCGGCGAACTTGTGCGCGAAAGGATTGAGCTCGCATCAAGCCATCCGCGTCATTGTCGGTGGTTTCACAATCCAAGGCATCGGTTTCCTCGTTTCGCTCACCATTTATTCCGCCTTTGTCTACCGACTGATGACACAGAAACTTCCGCCCGAGCCACTTCGCCCAGGGATGTTCGTCAGTGTCGGGCCTTCTGCGTTTACAGTCAGCGGCACCATTGGCATGGCCAGGGACCTCCATCGGATCATCGCTTCCTCACCCAACTCTACATTCATGGACGTACCTGGCCTTCTCGCCGCCCAAATACTGCGTCTTGTAGCGAATTGGATGTCCCTCTGGCTATGGGGACTAGCATGGTGGTTCTTCTTTGTCAGTCTCCTTTCTAACGCCGCTTGTCTACGGGAAAACCACCACATGCCCTTCTCCATGACATGGTTCAGCTTTATCTTTCCGCAGACGGCGCTCACGACCTCAACTTTTGCTATAGGGGATGCATTTGATGTGGATGCCATACGGATCATTGGCTGTGTCATGACGGTCTTGCTGATTCTTACTTGGCTCGTTGTGGTCAGCTTCATGATCAGGGCAATTGTGAATAAGCAGATACTGTGGCCAGGAAAAGGGGAAGACAAGAGCGAAGGAGGTTTCAAGGCAAGATCAGACGAATCCGTGACTACTTCATCGACGCCACTGGACCATAGCGTCCCTCTGCCAATGAGCCGCGCCGGCCTTCTTTTTACTGGCAAAAGTCAAGATGGCGAACCCACCGCAAGGGCCGGCTGAACCCAGGCCTTGTTGTGCCGATACTCGATACGCCCGAATGACGGCATGGCTCAGACCTCGCTGCACCGGAGAGACGAGGCCCAGATCTGAATGCGAGCCTCTTCTTGCCGAGTCCGCTGACGCCCTCCAAATTGCCTAGGCAAAATCCAGCCTCTTGGTCACAACAGCAAGTGCTGGATGGGGAGGTTGACAGCAGTGCTGGTTCGGAAAGAGCCACGACAAATTGACTGCTTTACAGCGGAAAGCCCATCGCCACTGGCTGATAAGATGCGTGTTCTTGCAATAGTGCTGAACGAGATGTTCGCATGACGGAAATCGGGTCAAGACCAGCACACCACAGCTTTGATGGCTTTTCCCGATCTCGAGTCCTCGAACGCTTTCGCATGCTCCTTGACGTCGTAGTACGACACGATCTCCTCGAGAGGAAAGTTGCCCGCTTGTTGCTGCTCCATAAGATAAGGAAGCATCTTGCTCGGCACAGAGTCGCCTCCAGCACAACCAACATACTCCTGTCCGCGTAACAGATGCTGTAAGATCTTTACAGGTACAGTCTTATCTGGTGCCGCCAAACCGACCTGTGCAGCTCGACCTCGGACAGCTAAGCATTCCAGCATTGTTTCTATCACTCTTGCCGAGCCCGTGCAGTCCACAGCATAATTTACGCCACCGGGAGCATGTTTCTTCAGCTCCGCAACAACATCGGCGCTGTTGCCATCCACCACATGGGTGGCTCCCAGATGCCTAGCGACATCTAGCCTGCTGGGGTTGAGGTCGATGGCGATAATGGTGTCTGCCTTTCTGAGTTTCCCCGCCATCACAGCACTTAAGCCCACACTCCCAACACCGAAAATTGCCAAGCTGGAGCCCTCCTTCACGTCCAATGTGTTCAGAACACTGCCGACTCCAGTCGAGATCCCGCAGCCCAATGGCGCAAATAATCTCAAGTCTGACTCTTCCGGTACTTTGAAGACACAAGATCGATCCACAACAGCATGCCTCGAGAACGAACTTTGACCGAAGAAACTGCTGAAACACGAAACTTGGTCCCCGTTCTTTTCTCCGTCAACAGAAATTGTGGTGCTGCCGTCCGATATCCTACACCCCCCAAAGTTTCTCGGCATGCTCTGATCACAATAGTTCGGATGACCAGCTAGGCAATTCGGGCATTTTTGGCAGGTGTTTATGCTTAGGAGCACTTTGTCATCCTGCGCAACGTGGGAGACACCAGATCCTACAGCGAGAACCACGCCAGCGCCCTCGTGTCCTAACACTGCCGGCGTAGAGATCGGCAGCATGCCGTCCATGCATGACAAGTCTGTGTGGCATATTCCTGTAGCGTGGATCTGGACCAGTACTTCATCTGCCTGGAGGGCAGACAGATGAACTTTTTGCAGTTGTAGGGAAGCTCCAATTTCTGGTAGCACTAGGGCTTCAGTGGTCGATACGGGACTTGTCATTGTCAAAGTGCACCAAAATGTAGGAAAGAGCTGGAATAGTATGGGAACTCGAATGGGATAGATTCAGTACTTCCAAAGGCACCTCCGCAATAAGGGACAAAGCATAATGCTTTTCCGCCACCTTCGGGGAGCAGACAACAACCCCACATCCCACATTGGGGTCAAAAATCTGGGGCATTAGACGTTGGCTGAGCCCAAAACTTGTTACACTCGCCCAGCCTGATGTTTCTTCTTCAGAAATTTCACTGTGTTCGTGACTTCATTCTAGTATGAGAGGCAAACCTCGAAACCCGGCTGACTGCCAAAATCACACAGCTTTGGCGAGTCGAAAAGACGATTCAGGCACTTGTTGTCGCTACGGGAATCCACACGACGGATGAAAGGAAGCTATTTTTTTTTTGTCAATGGCATTGATCTCGAAAACAGTCTCACTCTATCTCTCATCTCTCAACAATCTTCTCAGCTGCCTGATATGCTTCGGCGTCGTTTTACAACATCCCCCAACAAGTATACCTTGCCACAATCCTCGGGCCTGCACCTCCTTGACGATGTCGTTTACCTGCTTCTCCCAAGGTACCCGGCTTTCGTCGCCTCCGATCCATTGTTGTAGTGCCGTGTCGTACACTTTCCCCCCAGCCCCATCTGGGTAGATCACAAGTCTGGGGATTTGAAGCTTTTGTGCTCGAGCGGCATCTTCAAAGCTTTTGATCAAAGATGACAACTTGTGGACCTTCGTACAGTTGATGCCAATGGCGAAGGGTGGTCGCTCCCCTTCCAAAATGATCTTGACCAAGTCCTCGACACTCGTCCCGTCAGGTAAATTCTCGTCATCTTTTGGGAAGACGCAGGAGATCCAATACGGCTTGTCATTCACCTCCTGCATCATTGTCTTCGCTGCTCTCACCTCGTCTAGCCGGGGTAATGTCTCAACTGCGATAATGTCGACTTCCTTCCATTCCGGGCTGTCTTTAAAGCAGAGAAGTCTCTCGAGATGAAAGTCATGAAGATCTTCCTCTCTCATATTTCCGTACTCCCCACTATATTCGGTGCTCGGTACCATAGTAGCACCATAAGCACCCAAGCTCAAGGCCACCAGACCTGGTCGGCCATCAAAAGCTTCGCGAGCAATTGTGACCGCGGAGAGCATATATCTTCGAGCCTCATCTTCACTAAAGCCACTTTCACTCTTGAGCTTGGTATTTCTGAAACCATGGAAACTTGCCTGGTACGTGGCGGTGAGGATGATATCTGCCCCTGCGGCTGCAAAGTCTCGCTGGACGGTTTTCAA